GTGATGTAAGATCTATCCAATTGACAAGGAGTCGATCGCAAAAATCCGATAAAAACGCAAAATTCAAGGACAGCGGGACTTTTCTACTTGATTTCTACTTCCACCAAGACTTCCACCTATTCTTCTGTTGTATTCGTGTATCTCCATCTTTCGTGCATCGACTTTCGAGACATCGAACTTTTTTTTCTCCTCAACACTGTCCAGGGGCCCCTACGACGACGCACCGGATCACCACCGAAATTCTCAACAACGCAAGACCAGCACCGAAGCCTAAAAATTGTGTAAGCATATTCGTCCGAAATAAACGGTTTACCTTTGTAAACACTTGTCTTTGCTGCCTTTACAAACCGCCACCCACATACGCTAAGACCTTAGACCATCCCGACGGTAGGGAATAAAAATCTCCCCCCCCAATCGGCGTTCTTACAAATTTTAATTGAATATAAATATTAAACTGTAGGCACGAGACAGGATTAAGGCAAGAATAAGTCATAAAAATGCATGTAAATTTCAGTCTGTTCTCTGAAGAGATCGAAACTCTGTCCAACGATTAAATCACAAACAAAATAAAAAATACGATTAATTCACAAAAGTCCGAAGGAAATGATTCCCCGCGTATACGAAAGTCCATTCGAGAATCATCCTTCTGTCACATCCGAGTTTTCAGGTCATATCCGAGGCAAACTGTCAAATCAGGAAAAGTCGTCAAGTCCGAGTTACAGAGTCAAGTCAGGTAAATAAAGTTACAACTCGGTAAACCTGCACTCCATTCATCACAACTGACGAACTGGAAGATTGGACAACGCTGGTTTACTTCTAACCTCCAAGGTGTCTGAGTTCGGGCCGGATGGCCGAGTGGTCAAGGTGATAGCCTATTGCTCTGGGAGACCCTGGCTCGAATCCGAACGGGTCGAAAAATCCCCAGGAATTTTTCGGGGGGTGATCCGCTCGGATTTGTCGGGCCCCGTCCCTCACCACCCGGCAGCCCCATTGTGGGCCTGACCGAACCCATAATGGGCTTGCAAAAAGATGCCCTCTTAGTGCATCAGTGCCACAGGGCGGAAAGAATTAAAAATAAATAAATAAAAAAAAGGTCTGTGAGTTCGTCTTGAACTTCTCCAGTTCTATACTTCTGAATCTTTGTGAGGTGAGGGCTATACAGTAAAATTAAAGATTAATCATTGTGAAAAGCAATTTAATTGAATTTAAACCATATTCAATCTATGAAAATGGCACTTACCCGAAAAGACGATTGCGAAGACGTAACTCATCATCCATAAGTGGATGAACTTTAATTTTCTTACAGCCACCAAAGCAGGAACAAAAGAATTCCCGAACGTTCCTTATCACTTTCACCAAGTTTGAAAGCGCCCATCTCATAAAATGATCCGAATGACGTTCATTTCGATCGAACTGGATGTCCTCGGTCCACATTTCGGCCTCGATCTCCTCGTCGCTCATATAAGCTAATCTCAGTCGGTATATCTTAGATCGACTCCAATAGCGCTTCGGCTCCATCCATTCGATACGACGGGCTTGCTCCGAACACTCCGAAAGAAACTCCGGTTCGGGTTGAAATTCACTAGATTATGGATCCTACAAATTTCATTTTCCTTCCCTTTATGGGTTTATATAAGAATTTTAAAAGAATATTTTCAAACTAATCATACGAAACGTTTCTGAACATTTTTTTAGGGACAGAAAAAGTCTAAGTCAATTTGGTCATATATACGAATTAATTTAGATAATTAAGCATTTCCCGTTATCAGTAAAATACAGGCGAAACTTCCGGGTAGAAAGGTAAAACTTCACGGGGGTTTACCATACCGCTAATTCAATTTTACGGCTTAAAAGAAAGACTCTAATGTTTTAATAACCCGAAAAAAGTCTTGAAATGTATTTTAGATCAGGAGTGTCAAAACTATGGCTTCCGGGCTAAATCAGTCCAGCACGCATTAATTCGGCCGCAAACATATTTGACACATCACTCATAAACAAAGAAATAGTAGGCCTACTTTTTAATATAAAATATACAAAATATTTGTGGCCAATTATGCCCAATTTTGCACGCCAATCGAAAATGTTAGGCACAGCTATTTTAGATGGCACAGTAGAAATTTAGGCCTGATGGCCGAGCGGTCAAGGTAACAGTTTACCGCTCTGAGGGATCCGGATTCGAATCCGAACGAGGTCGAAAAATCCTCAAGAAATTTTTGGGGGATGTTTCGACCAGATATATTGTGGTCCTGGCCGAATTCATAATGGGCCCGCTAAAAGAGTGAGGTGGAAAAAGTTTAAAAAAAAAAAAAAACAGTAAAAATTTCATCTATTAGTAATAAAATATAAATTTAAATAATTACTTAAATTACATAATAATATTTTAATTATTATAATAAAAAAATAATAATTTATATAACTATAAATCATCGACATCATCAATTATATGGATCAACTTCCATCTTAGAATAGTAGCCTCTTCGGGCTTTCGTCATATCACGTGATTGTTTTAGTAAGAGACGAAAAAATCTAGTACATTTGTCAACGGCAGGTATTTAAACAGTTTATTGTTTACATCGCTCGTTTCAATGATTTAAAGGGAATTTCGTTTTATAAATAACGATAGTTTGATATAATAAAAGTGCCGTATATTCTGGTCAATGATAAGTGTTTACGTTGATGTAAATACAAATTATACTGGTTAAGAGAGTAAGACAATCAACTTTAGACCACTTTCTTGTTCCTTAGCAAAAGAGACCTCGACTCGAAGAAATTCCCGATGCAGTGCTACCCGATATTTTTATGGAGGGAGATTCCTCTTCCAAGCATTAAGCTCTGTAGAAATAAAGGTGTGTACAGTTCTACCCTATTAAATAAAGTTTACATATTTGTTGCTGTAATGATAGATACTAAGTTTTCTTATATTTTCATCAAAGAAAATTCATTTTACAAATAAAATTACAAAAATACTGACGGCTAGAACGGATTAATTGTATTTGCATTAATTTCTACGGGTTAACGAACAATTCGGTTAACGAACGGACTCGTGGAACGGATTACGTTCGTTGACCGGGGTTCCACTGTAACTTGAAATGCCAAGTTAATGTAATATATTTTAGTAGCAGGCAATCTACATACACTGGAGTGCTACATTATTATTTTTTCTCGGGTATTGGGTACTCTACGTGCCACTGAAATCAAACTAGTAAACTACATTAAGAAAACTTTATTCCACTTTAATAATACACACAGCAGTAAACCACTAAAATAAAAACGCCATTAAAAATTACATGCACATTTCCCAATTTTTTTCAGTTGAAGATTTCTATACGTTTCTGTGTATTTATTGTCTATTTGGACGTTGTTTATTAATGAATAGGACTTATTATACTGGTGATATTTCAGATTAGCAAAACGAGGACATCTTAGTCAATACCTAAAAACAAAGTATCTTTATTTTTATCTTTACTAATCAGAAATTTCACCAGTATAATAAGTCTTATTAATTAATAAGACTTATTAATTAATAAACAAAGTCCAAATAGACAATATATAGCCTACACAAAAATGTAAAAAGTAAGGACAAAGAGGTGAAAAGAATTCGATTTCTATATGTTTATCCTTCTGCTTCTATTCCGTTTATTATTATTACTATTTTAATTTTAATATATGACTGATTAAAGTACTGAAAAAGTTTCATTAATTGTCATTCTCTAGGCCATGACACCAAAAAACCTTCCTCGTATCATCAGATGGCACGTGTGCCATAGGTTGCAGTCCACTGATATATTCAATATTTCAGTTATATCATCTCAAAAACCATTATATAGAATGATCACAATTAAAATATTCCTATTCAACGTTATCTGGAAGGACAATACATTATGCAGTTAACTAGAAGGCTAAATGCAAACAAATGATGTTTCAGGACACAAGGGAGAGTTTAGGCGGAGGAAGGTTTTCGAATTTTTTTTCTCAATTTTATTCATTGTATCTTCTTTTATAGCCATTTTCTATATATCAGTGATGCATGGCTATGTTATTCTTCTAACGAAACGCTTCGCGAAGCAGAACTACGATTGGAGAAATATCATGCATCATAGCTAGTTATATTATCATTATAAAATGGCTGGTGAAAAATATATTATATATTAATTCATATACGAAAAACTTTTCCATTATCGAAGTTTTAGAAATTGAGAGAGGGTGGATGAATTGGATGGGCTAAGGCAACAGAAAACAAACAATCTGCCAGGAAAAAATGCCTCCCCAGGGGACTTTTACTTTCCTGACTGTTATGTACCGTACACATAAAAGGGAAAATATAGCAATCGTGTGAAATTTGATCTCCGAGTTTTTACAAATCTCCATGTCATTTTATAATAATTAATAATATAAAAAGTTTTCATAATAAAATTTCATAACAGATGGAGCCACACACAATTTTATTTATTATGATTAATAATATTTTAAAATCTTATAAGAATCGGAAAAGTTACTCAACTCGTTGCCAGAATTTTTTAAAGAATTTTACAACTTATTATTAAGATGTCACGTTTTTACATTTTCCACTTCGAGTGCATCGAAAAAATTACTCGTGATTATTATCGGTTCAGTCAGGCTCACAATGGAAATAACGGCCGAGGAGATACGAGGTCAAACGTAATCAGACCTAATCATTTACAGTATGAACATTTTTAAATAGAAGATAAATTAGAACTGTTCCAAAAATCATTGCAAGTTTTTATGATTGATGGAAAACAGGAAACGACATCGTTATAACTTATTCCTCGCAAGTTCGAATAAAGAAAGTAATGAATTGGGTATTTATAAAAATATTTTATTTTCTAATTGACTATTCAAATTTTCATACGTTCATTTCATTATTAAGAAGGTAATTTGGAACTCATGCATTGACTTGTAATTTATTCTCAAGTACTAATGCAAAATTTTTTTGAATGTGCATTCATAAAACGACAACCCACAGACTTTAATTAAATTTAACGTAGTTAATAATTCATTATAAATTTATTATATAAATTTGTTTTTTCTTTTATAAAATTTGCTCAATTATTAAGCTCTTAATTATAACAGAGAATACAGGATAGCAATATAAAAATATAAAATGAATGTCATACATTTTAAAACCTTTCCAGATGACCAGATTTTCTTAGAACAAAACTTTTATTCCTTGGGACTCATTGTTTTTAATCCTCTTTAAGTCGACCATCCCTTTATCAGATCAATGATCTCCTAGACTGATAAACCCTCGTGTTGAATACCTTCTTTGAGGCAATCAGTTTTATTATCCGGGATGGGATGTACCAATTATGTACAATATACAATGTTGAGTATGTTGCATTAAGTGTAAAAGTGTCTCAATCTTCTCTTCCCAACTTTAATGTCTCCTTTATTTCCTATTCGGTCCTATTGTAGAAAAAATATATAATTTTCTGTTAACATCTTCAACACCAAGTTAACCTATGCTTCTTATTTTCTTATTACAGGATTAGATGGCAAACTGGGTTAGACGATGAACACACGTAGTTTACTTACTGTATAAACTGAAAAGTGGATGTATAAACTGAAAGTAATGAGTCTAACCTGAAATCGGTAAAAAATAACAGAGTAGACTCTGGTAGAGGGGATCACCCATATACTATTTACCAACTAACCCACACTTATAATGGTGAGAAAGTGATTTAGTAGAAAATTGTATTTTGTTTTTTTAGAATCTGTTTTTTGGAAAACCCTATTATTTTGCTCTCTGTTGTTTTGTTTGGTATAAGTAAGAAAACACCAGTTTAGTTAGTTTTTAAATAAAATTTATTCTCACACTCAGCTTTCGGATGACCAGTTTTTCCTAAGTTTTGGAAGTGGTAGTCTTATTTAAAACTTAAACATTTAGTAAAGTAACATATCATTTAAATCTTGATTATATCTCCTGTATATAAGAGTTTGTTATGATTAGATTTAATTCAATTGATATTCATCTTCAACTTTTTATTCATTAGTTTTTTGAACTCGTTGATATTCTTTAAGTCTACAAAATATATTAAACTTACATAAATAAAACATGTGTAAAATTTTAAACTAATATAAAATCTTATCTTAAAATTGTAAAAATATAAAACTTGAAACCTAAGAGCATTAATTCTAATGAATCCTTCGACATCTTCTGGTGTAAATTTATCGGTCATATCCAAACTGAAAATAGTAAATATTTTCTAATTATTTAAATAATGTATAAAATTTATTTGAAAAATAATATTTACCTGGAAAGTTCTTGATTGTAAATTGCCTTTTGTGATTGTCTGTTAAGAATGGAAATCTTTCCTTTAAATAAAGATAAACCCACAACTCCCGTCACTGTGTGTTGGCTTTGCCTTATGCACATTCTTGTATATTGGCATTCTGGACTGAACCATAATCCTAAATATATACAATTAATGTTTATATTACTTAAATAATGTCGTAACTTACAACATAAATGTAAGAACTTGTTCTTACCATTATATATTTGTTCTGAAAGTTTCGAAGTTAAGTAATTTTTCAATTTTAAAACTTCCTACAATTAAAGATATAAAACAATTATATTTGTAAGATTGTTATTATATATTCTATCATATTTCTATCGTTATATCATTTTATTTTTTATTTATTATATTATATATTATAAAAATACAGTATATCTTTCTACACTTACGCGAGAACGAAAAGAAGCTACCAATCGGAGTGGGCGATCAGAGACAGAAAATAATAAAAACCCCGAAGGACGTGACAGCTTCTTCTCCCGAAAATTCCAAGTGTTGGACCAATTGTTGTGCCTATCATCGTTTCCCTACTTCGGATCGGCATCTTTCCGTCGCGGAAGCTGAGATCGTCGAGACATCCGAGGAACTCTTACTCACGAACCAAAGACATTTCTTCATTTGGGACTATCGTGGAAAGGAGATGAAGACCAGAGACCGCCATCGATTTTAAACTTCCAAGATGGCGGAAATCTTAAGCTTCTTTCGTGTCAAATAAATGTTTCTTGTAACTGTAGAATGTCTCAGTGCCGATCGCATCCATATACGACCCTCCCGACCTCTCGTCCATCTTGACCATCTTTCCCTCTATTGTCAGCCTCATAATTTCAAATGTAAAAATATAATATTTGTTCTATAACCATTACACGACATTTTGCCAAGAATACTGCACTTCTCTAACGACTAATGTAGGAAGGCTGGATGACCAAGGTAGTTAGCCTATTGCTCTAGGAAACCCGAAATTAATCTGGGAGGTCGAACAATGGAATTTTTTCATGGATGTCTTAGATATGTTAGGACTACCCAGCTGACCATTGTGGGCTTGGCCTAAGACATAATGAGCTTCCTAAAAACCTATTAGTGCCCATAGAGAAGAGAGAGTTTTAAAAAAACTTAACTTTGATGACAAACATTTTAGTGTTGTTGTAGGAAGTGATCTCACTCCATCATCCTCTTCAGTTAGAAATCCAATAAACATAACAAAATGTAAAATTTAATAATACAATATTATTTGTAATAATTTAGTAATATTATGAGTATTTGCAATTTATATTTTAGATGTATACAGTATGTGCATTGTAGTGACGTGCTGTATAAGGCGAAGGTGGCTCAAACTTGTTTGTAAATAATATTTCAGGTGTCCATGTTTAAGTGCATTGTAGTGAAGTTAAATTTTTTTATATATGTTAAAATTATTTACTAGAGATTACTTATTTATTATAAATAAGAATACGATTTATAGGTTGAAAATTAACTCACCCGATCCATGGCATAGACTTCCAAATCTAAATGAGCTTCAAAGAGAATCGTTCCACCTGGTGTTTCGTAACAACCTATAGAATATAATAAAACCTTTCGATATTTTTCTGAATTTTTTAAAATTGTAATTTCATTTTAAATTTAAAAAAATCTAAAAAAAGATGCATAATAAAAAAACAGGAGCTTGTAAAAATTCAAGGAGAAAATTCAGTGAGAAGTATAAAAGAGAAAGGGTAATTAAAGTTTACATTGATGATGTAACGTGCAACTTTAAGAAACACGTGCATACAAATAATAATTTTTTATATAAAAAATTTAAATCGGAAAATTTATTTAATTTTTCAAGCATTTTTAGGCAAGGACAAATAATTAAGTTTAAATAAAATGTGCATGTAATTAAATGTCATTAAAAGACAACTTCGCCTACATTATAGCAATTTGCTATTAAAACGCCTACATAATACAAATAACTAAAAATACACCTATATATGGTAAAAATATTTAATTGTATGTTTAACGTAAAAATTAAATTATTAAAATATCTTTAATATATTTTTTAAAATCATCAATAAGTTTTAAGTTACCTTCTTAACGAGATTGTTATTAACTAAGGTAATTAATTATAAGTTTTTTAAGATAACATCATTATGATCCTTTGAACAATTTCAGAATCTAACCAAAAGCCTTATATTTAATGTTAGATTTTGGGCTTTTAAAGCGTTTAAAAATATTAGTAACTTTTCCTAGTTAATTTTAATCATCTGTACATATTATTATTGTACTCGCAGAAAAAATATCCAACACTGCTATCAATATAAACAATCTACCTCTTGATTTCACTCCAATATATCTGTTTTCTACGATATCTATTCTACCAATTCCATGTTTGCTTCTAAAATATAAAAAATAATGATTATAAAATTTTCAATTAAACATTTAAAATTATAATTATACTATTAAGATGTTTATAATTTTAAAGATTATGATACGAAATATTTTAAATGCTTCCACTAAATAGAAAATACAATAGCTTTGATCAGTGTTTCTCATAGTTTTTGCTCATGCAACCCAGTACAGTATACAGTAGACCCTCTATAACACGGTAGATACGTTTCGTTTTATATGAATTCCGTATTTTACCAGTCACTTAAATACATGAGCCAATCACATCCCGGCACGTGTGCAGTTTACGGACTACGGCTGTTTGAAAGGTTTTCTTCCATAAAATTAATCGTTTTTAGACTAATTTGACTCAACATTTCCAAAACACGTATAATTTTTTGGGAATAATCTATATATACTATTCTATAAACAAAAAATTGTAGGATTACTTACCGAGTGTTCACCGTTCGACGACGCCATTGCTTAAGCTTGTTTTCGTCGCGGAGCGGCGCATCGAACGGCGGGTGCGTGTTTTCCGATAAGTTATTTTCCTGCGAAAAATTCGCTGAACTTTGGAGACATCATTAATATAAATATAATTTTTATGGCCGTTAAATAATAAATGGTTTTTGTAGGCCCGCTGCTCGTTTAAACTCAACGGTTTGTGCAATATTCGCTATTGGTCTAGATTCGACCAATCCTATCGCGACACGAGTCGGCAATGACGTTTTACCGTATTATACGAGTATCTTTTAGCGTGTTTATACGAATACGATCGCAATTTTTTCGCCTTGTTATACGAATCCGTATTATATGAAACCGTTTTATAGGGGTCTACTGTATTTTTTTGTAATGGTTTCGCGACACAAATGTTTATAATATAAATTTTTAAGAAAATCTGGTAAATTCGAGTCACTGTACATAATACAACGAAATAAAATCGTACACTTTTTTTTATATATAAAACTTCTACGTGTGAAATGTAACATTGAGTACATTTCTATTAAGAGCGGTACAGACCATTCTTAAACTTTAAAACAATAACTTTAAAACAAATTTTAAAGTGCTTTATCTAATAAAGAATGAGTTTAATATATGATTATTTAATGTTTTACTTTACCCAACTTCATTCAAATATAAAAACATGTCCAGCGGTCCTTCTCTTATCGTTCCATCTCCCATATTAATTACTTTTATTGGAATCCCTGTTAGATAACAATATATGTAGTTAATTATAATAGGTCTAAAATAATTATTAATTGGTTTTAATTATAAAATGTAGACCAATCAAAATACATATGTTTTTAATTTATCAATAAGATTTAAATGAAAAATTTGTTATTTAGAAAGAAAACGCTCAGCGAAAGTCGTCTAACTTTACGAAGTCGGAATCGGTAAATTTTTAGGAATTTTAGGATGTTTCTGTGTGAAAAACAATGAAAAAGTGAATTTATAATATGCAATTTGAATAAAAAAGAACACTGTTTCTAGCAGAATAATACATTTTCTATAACTGTAATGTATTGTAAATATATTTTCTTCTTCTGCTATATTATTATAAAAGATGTTTTGTTCCGTTACTTTGTTTTAATAAATATTTTTTTAATATTATGCTAATAAGTCTTTTAACGAATCAAGATAGTGTCTACATTCGGTACCACAACACGTAATTTCAATTCTATAACAACACACAACACAACACAACACAGCTTTAAATTTGAGTTTTAAAGGACTGTATAGGACCACATTATGTATCACTGAGGAGGGGTTGGAGTACATTATACCAACCCGAAATATATTTGTAGTTCAATGGAAAATAAAAAATAATTTACTAACCAGAAATTGCTGTGAGATACGTCTACCAAAGTGTGTTTCTTTTGGATTACAGAGACGGATTTACATTTGTAATAATACTTCTAGTCACCCAGCAAAACGCTTACAGCAATGGTTTCAAGAAAATATGTGCCTGTTCTAAAGTGGCCGCCTAATTTGCCAGATTTAAATCCGATAGAAAATGTTTGGATTAACATAAAAAAATACATTACAATAATACAGATGAGAAAATCAATAAAAATTTATAAAATATATAAGAGAAATCTGGGAAAATGTAACCATTGAGTACTGTAAAAAATCTAGTTAATTCAATGCCAGCGAAATGTATTGTCATACGAGTTTCTGGCTATTCCACAAAATATTAATAATTTATCTAAACTCTATTCTCATTGGCGACTTTTTTCAAAGACAAAAAAAAACAAGAAAATGTTTCTAAAGTTGTGAAACTAAATTTGTAATAATTACTAGAAAACATTTTAAAATAAAATTATAATTGTTATATACGTTCTGTCTACAGGATGGTTGTTTTTAAACTTCTGAAATAAAGTTGTAAAATAAAATAAACTAGTGACTAAACTAATATAATGAAAAAACACAAACCGTTGTCAAAATAAATTTCTAGCTTTTCAGCAACATCAGGACAATTTTGAGGATCGGTTGTCATGGTAAATATTCCATCTGGAGCTGTTTTGCTAGGATCTTCAAGAATGCCAGATTCATAGCTGAAATTTATTACTCGTTATATATTTTTTACATAATATATAAAAGTTTGTAACGAAAACATTGAAAATAAAAGTAAGAAAGTAAAATACCTTATATGCATCAAATTAGCATCCATACTCCATGGAGCTTTGGGTGTAATTGAAATAGGTATATTGTGTTTCTATCAAAAATTAATTCTAATTAGAAAATTTATACTAAATAAATATATTGAAGTATATTCAATTAAATATATAAGTAATATTTCGAAAAGCCTCTTTTATGTGGCTTACAGAATTGTGTTCGTTTTCAAAATTTAATCGATCGATTTTAATTAAACTTTGCTATTTTTCATTATTTGCGACGAGGAATCTAAAAATGTTATAAAAGTGACATCATTTTCGAGAAATAGTGGTGTTACAGTGGCAATGTTCATGCTTCCTGATGAGATTGAATGGACCTAATAACGGAAAACAGGCGCCGAAAACGAACAAACACAAGAACAAAGCAATCGACACCGGATGAATGTAAGGATCGTCTCTTATGTGCCAAACAGATGCAAGGATCTCCTTCAAATAAGTTATAAGGATTGTCTTCTTTTGATCTTCTTCTGATCACACACACACTCTTTCTCTCTCATTCTCACGTACACATCCATACACACACGGCAAGCCACAGCATGTCGAGTCCAATGACCAATGACCACATTTAACTCGAAATTTGTTAGGTATGAAAACAATGTGACTAAAATATCATCTGTTATCGAAAAGAAGCATTACTTTCCTTTTAATTGTAGACTATTATTCGGATTTTTCTTTCAATTGTATATTAAAACATTTACATATAAGATTTCTAATTTATAGTTGAAGTAAGCATTATTATACGTATTAGAATACTTTTAGAAATTTATTATTCATACAAATAAAAAGTTTACTTTAAAATTATTAATATAACTACTTATATTTACTTTTGCGTAAGAAATCAAATCTTGTCTTCCTCGAAAACAATTGTAAAATTCAGCCATTCTCCAAGGAGCTAAAATCTATTGTGAATATTAATATTTATAAGAAAGTACAATAGAAAAAAACTATAGTTAATAAATATTAATGTTGTTTTACTAATTAATCATTTCTAATTAAAATACATAATTATCAGCTTTAGTTCTTAACAAAGTTAACCTCTCAATTTTAAAATTTTAATCTTCAATAACATTACATCTATTTATCTGGTTATTTTTATTACAAAAATATATCGGTTTGAAATTTTTAGTAAGTTATGTATTAAATTTTAATATATTATTAATTAGTACAAATATTTAAGTGGAAGCTGGAGATCTTTTTCCTGGGAGCGGCAAAAACTGAGAGAACCTTAATGGTTCTTCGCTTAATAAATTAATATTATTATAATTTGATCACATAAAAGAATCGCATTTTAACTAAATTTGACAGATTTTAATGCACATTTTAAAAATTTCTTATTAATAGAAACAAATCATAAGTACTAATGAAATTTTATATTTACTTTAATTGACGGTAAGAGAGTATAAAAGGTTAATTCGAATCTTATTTGGTCATTTCCTTTTCCTGTAGCACCATGAGCTACGTAAGATGCATTTTCTTCTTTTGCAAGCTTAATGAGCGCTCTCGCAATACAAGGTCGTGCTAAAGAAGTTCCTAATAAATATCGTCCTTCATATATTGTTCCAGCTTGAACAGCGGGCCAAATAAATTCTGTAATAAATTCGGCCTTTAAATCTTCGATAATCACCTAAATAAATAACATTCAATTATGTTAATAAATACATAATAATATTACAAAGGAAATTTTTTTTATTTTTGTCATACTTTCGTTGCACCTAAATTCTTTGCTTTATTGTAAGCTTCAGTAAAATCTTCATCCTGGCCAACATCAGCCTGAAAATTAAATAATTTATTAATATTTTTTAAAAATTTGTTTATTACTTTATTACTTACAGTCTATTTATTATTTTGATAAACTAAAATATCTCATATATTTAATGACTATTGTTCAAAGTTTGCACGTAGTTTATTGACTGAGATCATTTTTTTGCTTTTGTTTTACATTGTTTTTATCATTAACGAAACGAAAATTTACTAGAACATACCGGAATCGTCGCCATATTGAAAGGCTAGGTAACCTATAATTCGCATTCTCCATATATATACTGTATGTACAGTACGTGGTACACTGTACAGTACATACATACTGTATAAATATTATAGGTTTATAAGCATTTTTAGAAAAAAATCGACAGTGTTCTAATGAAAAGTTTTTGCTAACTTCAAACCGGGATTTTAGCAAACTTTAAGAAATAAAATGTAAAAAAAATAATCATAATTTTTAATATATTCACATATCTAAATAAAGTGAATAATGAATCCTTCGACATCTTCTGGTGTAAATTTATCGGTCATATCCAAACTGAAAATAGTAAATATTTTCTAATTATTTAAATAATGTATAAAATTTATTTGAAAAATAATATTTACCTGGAAAGTTCTTGATTGTAAATTGCCTTTTGTGATTGTCTGTTAAGAATGGAAATCTTTCCTTTAAATAAAGATAAACCCACAACTCCCGTCACTGTGTGTTGGCTTTGCCTTATGCACATTCTTGTATATTGGCATTCTGGACTGAACCATAATCCTAAATATATACAATTAATGTTTATATTACTTAAATAATGTCGTAACTTACAACATAAATGTAAGAACTTGTTCTTACCATTATATATTTGTTCTGAAAGTTTCGAAGTTAAGTAATTTTTCAATTTTAAAACTTCCTACAATTAAAGATATAAAACAATTATATTTGTAAGATTGTTATTATATATTCTATCATATTTCTATCGTTATATCATTTTATTTTTTATTTATTATATTATATATTATAAAAATACAGTATATCTTTCTACACTTACGCGAGAACGAAAAGAAGCTACCAATCGGAGTGGGCGATCAGAGACAGAAAATAATAAAAACCCCGAAGGACGTGACAGCTTCTTCTCCCGAAAATTCCAAGTGTTGGACAAATTGTTGTGCCTATCATCGTTTCCCTACTTCGGATCGGCATCTTTCCGTCGCGGAAGCTGAGATCGTCGAGACATCCGAGGAACTCTTACTCACGAACCAAAGACATTTCTTCATTTGGGACTATCGTGGAAAGGAGATGAAGACCAGAGACCGCCATCGATTTTAAACTTCCAAGATGGCGGAAATCTTAAGCTTCTTTCGTGTCAAATAAATGTTTCTTGTAACTGTAGAATGTCTCAGTGCCGATCGCATCCATATACGACCCTCCCGACCTCTCGTCCATCTTGACCATCTTTCCCTCTATTGTCAGCCTCATAATTTCAAATGTAAAAATATAATATTTGTTCTATAACCATTACACGACATTTTGCCAAGAATACTGCACTTCTCTAACGACTAATGTAGGAAGGCTGGATGACCAAGGTAGTTAGCCTATTGCTCTAGGAAACCCGAAATTAATCTGGGAGGTCGAACAATGGAATTTTTTCATGGATGTCTTAGATATGTTAGGACTACCCAGCTGACCATTGTGGGCTTGGCCTAAGACATAATGAGCTTCCTAAAAACCTATTAGTGCCCATAGAGAAGAGAGAGTTTTAAAAAAACTTAACTTTGATGACAAACATTTTAGTGTTGTTGTAGGAAGTGATCTCACTCCATCATCCTCTTCAGTTAGAAATCCAATAAACATAACAAAATGTAAAATTTAATAATACAATATTATTTGTAATAATTTAGTAATATTATGAGTATTTGCAATTTATATTTTAGATGTATACAGTATGTGCATTGTAGTGACGTGCTGTATAAGGCGAAGGTGGCTCAAACTTGTTTGTAAATAATATTTCAGGTGTCCATGTTTAAGTGCATTGTAGTGAAGTTAAATTTTTTTATATATGTTAAAATTATTTACTAGAGATTACTTATTTATTATAAATAAGAATACGATTTATAGGTTGAAAATTAACTCACCCGATCCATGGCATAGACTTCCAAATCTAAATGAGCTTCAAAGAGAATCGTTCCACCTGGTGTTTCGTAACAACCTATAGAATATAATAAAACCTTTCGATATTTTTCTGAATTTTTTAAAATTGTAATTTCATTTTAAATTTAAAAAAATCTAAAAAAAGATGCATAATAAAAAAACAGGAGCTTGTAAAAATTCAAGGAGAAAATTCAGTGAGAAGTATAAAAGAGAAAGGGTAATTAAAGTTTACATTGATGATGTAACGTGCAACTTTAAGAAACACGTGCATACAAATAATAATTTTTTATATAAAAAATTTAAATCGGAAAATTTATTTAATTTTTCAAGCATTTTTAGGCAAGGACAAATAATTAAGTTTAAATAAAATGTGCATGTAATTAAATGTCATTAAAAGACAACTTCGCCTACATTATAGCAATTTGCTATTAAAACGCCTACATAATACAAATAACTAAAAATACACCTATATATGGTAAAAATATTTAATTGTATGTTTAACGTAAAAATTAAATTATTAAAATATCTTTAATATATTTTTTAAAATCATCAATAAGTTTTAAGTTACCTTCTTAACGAGATTGTTATTAACTAAGGTAATTAATTATAAGTTTTTTAAGATAACATCATTATGATCCTTTGAACAATTTCAGAATCTAACCAAAAGCCTTATATTTAATGTTAGATTTTGGGCTTTTAAAGCGTTTAAAAATATTAGTAACTTTTCCTAGTTAATTTTAATCATCTGTACATATTATTATTGTACTCGCAGAAAAAATATCCAACACTGCTATCAATATAAACAATCTACCTCTTGATTTCACTCCAATATATCTGTTTTCTACGATATCTATTCTACCAATTCCATGTTTGCTTCTAAAATATAAAAAATAATGATTATAAAATTTTCAATTAAACATTTAAAATTATAATTATACTATTAAGATGTTTATAATTTTAAAGATTATGATACGAAATATTTTAAATGCTTCCACTAAATAGAAAATACAATAGCTTTGATCAGTGTTTCTCATAGTTTTTGCTCATGCAACCCAGNATAGTATATAATAAAATATAACGTATCTGAAATAACGAAACACGTTGTTTATTTGATAATAGTTTGATAAATTATAGTATATTCTCTGTAAATGGGGAAATTCCAAAAGAAAACATATTCATTATTTTTCCTCTTTCCTTCTTTGAAAAACATAGTTTTATTTTAGAGCATTTTCTCTTGAAATTATTACCGAATGAATTGACATTTGATTAAACTCGAAATTTTTAATAGTTTTTCTGAATTTGAAACTAATTTTGAATTTTTCTCATATACTGTAATGTTAAATACGATGTTTGTAAGTGATTTCATTATATGATGTAAACTCTTCTCGGTTTCAAATTATTTTGTAACTTCCAATTAACAGGATGATTGAAGTTTCTTCCTAGTTGCAATCGCGGGGTAACATCATTTTAATTAAATGAATACTACTTTCAAATCGTGTACGTAATTTATTATTAATTAAATATACATATCACATTTCCAACATTTCCTCTCTAAATTAAAAAAAAAAAAAAAAAAACTTTAACATAAATGAGTTAAATATGCGCGCTTTAAAAACTTAAAGCACCTTTATGCAAATATAAATAAGAATTTTATATATTTTCTGCGTAAAATAATGTAATAGAATGTTTAAAAATATATATTAAAAAGTTATAATTACCATAAATGCTATCACTTTATACTTTCTTTCGACTAACCAAGCAAGAATACAAGATGTATCCAAACCACCACTGTATGCTAAAATTACTGTTTTATTAGCCATGGTATTCTATCAATAATTTCAGATACGATTTAATTAAATATATCTTTTATAACTTATTCAATATTAAAAGTAAAGAGAATTCAGCGTAGTTTATATTTCGATAATCGTCAGCCAATTATCTCGTAGTTTGCTGCTATAGATTGCGTAGTGGCACGAAATACATTCACACGTGATTTAAGTTATCAATGACAGTACGGAAAACAAAGAACATATTGTCTGGTAAAACGGCTTTAATATAGTTAAATAAGTAAACCAATTATATAGTTTATTTCAAATGAAACGGAATATATCATTGGCTTTTCTTATTTAACTATATAATACTTATATAATGTGAAATTACCGTATGTGTCTTAAGTGAATTCTCGAAATAACAAACGGAAATAATGTTATAATTTTAATGCATAATAATTTGCCATGTATTTTTTTTAAAATCTAAATTGTTATAACTAAACTACAGAATGATATATATATATATACCATTTATCATTTTATAAAAATTATCACATGTAATAATTTAAATAATACAAAATTATCAAGTATTAGTGTTGTCTAAAAACCTGTTTATAACAGCTGTGTAATGATAAAATAGATTAAATTATTCTATATTTATTTTAATATTGTCTATTGAATCGATTACAATATAAATATATATATTATTTTAATGGAAATAAAAATTATTTTAATATTTCTAATGATTTTTTTTTCGATTATAAAAAATGGATTTAAAAACATTATAAAATATGATTGTTGGGAAATGGGAAATAAACATCTTGTTACATCATTATCACTGAGTAAAGTTGTTTATCTAGTTATTTTATTGATATTTTTTTTTTTACGAGAAATATAGAACACCAGACAATTTTATTTTCTTTTTTTATTAATATAGTATAAAACTCTATTTGGGAAAGTGATGTCTGCTACTTCAAAAGACCGTTAAATCAAATATGTTTTAAAAATGAATATTAATACAGTAACTAATTTAAAATATACAATATGTATTATAATGTTATTATAATGTATAGTACATTGAGTGATTTATACTCATTGTTGACAGAGGAGTTCCGAAAAAGGTAGATAAATCATAACTACATTTTAATAGAATTTTCATATAAACCTAGTTTAAATTGTGGACAGAAAAAAAAAACAATTAAAATACTGAACCTCAAAATATGTCATATTAATCTGATTAATACATAGAAATATATAGTATATAATAAAATATAACGTATCTGAAATAACGAAACACGTTGTTTATTTGATAATAGTTTGATAAATTATAGTATATTCTCTGTAAATGGGGAAATTCCAAAAGAAAACATATTCATTATTTTTCCTCTTTCCTTCTTTGAAAAACATAGTTTTATTTTAGAGCATTTTCTCTTGAAATTATTACCGAATGAATTGACATTTGATTAAACTCGAAATTTTTAATAGTTTTTCTGAATTTGAAACTAATTTTGAATTTTTCTCATATACTGTAATGTTAAATACGATGTTTGTAAGTGATTTCATTATATGATGTAAACTCTTCTCGGTTTCAAATTATTTTGTAACTTCCAATTAACAGGATGATTGAAGTTTCTTCCTAGTTGCAATCGCGGGGTAACATCATTTTAATTAAATGAATACTACTTTCAAATCGTGTACGTAATTTATTATTAATTAAATATAATAATTATTATATCTCTGTAATTTAATTTCTTCAATTCTATATATTTTTAAAATTTAATAAAAGATTTAATATCATAAAGAATTAACTTATATAACCACTGTGGTTAAACTGCAGCTCGCAAACCACATGCGGCTGTTCTAGATCCTTACTTCGATTCTGTGTAATGTACAGTACTTATACAATTTCTTTTTATAAACTTTGTACAGTACATAATACTTACATATGTAATATTTTTGTAAGTTTGTTTACTATTATTTAGTGTGATGTACTGCACAGTAAACACGGCTAACTTGCAATTGAAAGCTACAGGTATTGTACATTCGTAAAATTGAATGAGTTAACTAATTAAAGTGGAATTTTTTCGGCTGATTAAGATGTATGTTTCTTTATGTACTTTAAGCTTTTCCGAGATAAATTCGTTATATCCATTTTTTGATTCTCACCATCAATTTTAGTACTTTTTATAGAGAAATTTTAGATAAAAATATTTGTTTACCGACTCCACCACACTGGTTTCTATTATCTCTTTCTGATGTCTGTTGACATAGGAACGAAATGTAACTGTACAAAACCAAGAATTAAATAAAATTGAATTAAAAAGATTGAAACACACATATCTTAAATTTGATAAATTCGTGCAAATTCCACTGCTGATCAAGCAATGCAATCAAGCAATGCTATCAAGCAATGAAACGAACTGGGACGAAAAAAAATATCCACGACGAGGAAAATATAGTTCTTATATTTTTTCAGATATAAACTGATTAATTATTGATAATATTTATAATTTGTTTGAATTGGATAGCTCAATGTTAAGCGATAGAAATCGTTCTTACGCCTAAGATGTTCCGATAAATAATTTCAATTGCAATAAATTTCACAAAGTCAAAAATGCTACTCATAAATATATGTAAAATTTACAATGTATTTGATATAAAATTTACTTTGTAGGCTTCAGATTTATTTTTAATGATTTATAAAAATTGCAATTTAAAATTTCATAATCACAATATAATATTTGAGTAATAATTTAAATTTAGCAGGAATTTCTTTTACTTTTAATGTTTTAGTGTAGACATAAAAATAATTGCAAATTGTTAATCCGTATTAATTTTTTAATTTTGCTATATTATTAAATTACAAAACAAAATACATAAAATTATTCTAAATTTTATAAATCATCAATAAATTGTATGGAATACATAAGAAAATTTAATAAACAAATGCAATTTTAAAAACAAATACATGATTTTATGTTGATTTTACATAACTATTTTACATTTATTTTTTTCTTTTCTGTGTTTTTTACATAAGAATCGTAAAATAATTTGCTAAATAAATAGAAATGTGTAATAAGTATAAAATATATAAAATACATAACATCATTTGATATTTTACATTTTCTTTTATTTAGAGTTACGAATGTAGTAATATAAAATCCAATTACCGTTTGCAAAATTTGTATTAAAGTTAACGATATTCGAAATATATTAGGAATTCTAAAGTTCATTGTCTTCGCTGCAAAATACGAATACATAAACGAATGTACAGTTGCATTTAGTGCTATGAAAAAAATAGCAAAATTTACTCTGTGTCTTGCTAAAAACCAGGTAACAATTAGAGTTATAGCATGATGATACCAATGTAAGAATATTAGAGAGCGCTTTTTTAAAACGATTAATATTGTATCTCCGAGTTCTAATACTTTTGACCATAAGAAAAACCATCCCCAAAATGTTACTCTCGGAATTTTAAACCATTCCATAGATTCGCATTTACACACAATACAATTAAAGGAATATTGACGGTAAATATAAAATAATACTGGAACAATTCGAAGTACAACAAGGATGCTGAATAATGCAATCATTATGTTCCAAATAGCAAATAAATATTTTAAATTATATGCCGGACGAAACTTCATATAATATTGAAGAAGATGAATGATGATTATATAGAAAACTGCAAGATAAAAAACGAAATACCAATTGTTTTCTACCCATCTTTGGCCGGAGTCATAACTTATTAAATCTTCAAATCCAAATGACCGGTATAATTTTTCTAAATCTTGATTCATTTGAAGTGTAAATATCCTAAATAAAATAAAATTATTGATTTAAAATTAAAACGATAAAAAGTTTTAAAACTTTAATTGTACAGAGTGTCCATAAATTATTCACCGGATTAAGAAATTCGATTGAAAAAAAAGGGCGAGATATTGAGGAAAAGGTTTACAGCAATTCATGTTGTACCTCAAAGAATTTTTCCCTCTTGTATGCCAACATTGAAAAATTGCTTTCATCTAACATTACGGCGAAAACGGCGTCAGAAAACAAAAAAAGCAAAGTGAGTTTTTCGGTTATGGGAAACAAAATTACTAAAGGCTGTTATGAGAAGATTTGCACGTGAATTTTATAAAGATTCGCCAAATAACAGTCAATTAAACAATGTCTGAAACAATTTCAAGAGACCGGAAGCACGTTGCATCAGTGGAGGTGTGTCTAATGTGTGCGAATAACAAGTCGCCGCTACCCAGGAGACATTTCGACGAAGTCCATTTGCCATGTTAGCCTTCAACTAGGGATTCCTAGATCAACTGTTCACAAAATTATACATGAGAGGTCGAGGGTGACTGGTAGAAAGTGCAAATTGTTCAAGAGCTTAAACCTAATGATAAACCATGTCGCAAGCAATTTGCTGTGGAAATTCTTGAACTCATAGTGAACGACAATCTGCTTTCTCGATAAAGTGGTGTTTAGCGATAAAGATGCGTTCCATATGTTAGGTGAAGTTAATCAATATAACTATAGAATATGGGAATCTGAATCGCCATTTTGTTAGGGAACACGTGCGAAATAGCCCGAGAGTGAATGCTTGGTGCGCACTAACACGCAACCAGGTGATCGGTCTTTTTTCGTGGAATCAACTGTTAATGGGAACATTTACCTGAACATGCTCGAATTTTTGCGGTATCTCAGTTGGAGGACAGCAGCCAAACGCGTGGTTTCAGCAGGATGGAGAACCTTCTCATTGGGACACAGCTGTGACGAAAAATTCCCACGCCAATGGTGATCGGTCGAGATACACTCATTGCATGGCCACCACGCTCTCCCGATAGCATGCCTCTGGATTTCTTTTTCTGGAATACTTAAATAACAGTGTACGCAACAAAAGCAAACAAATTGACAGTGTTGCGAGTTCGGATTATCCAAGAAATTGATACTTTGGCCCCGCAAATACTTATGAAAAATGTGTGGAAATAAATTGAATAAAGGCTGGATATTATCCGAGCAACTAACGGTGCCCATGTGAAAGTGTACTGAACAATTGTCATGTTCTAAACCATTTGCAATATATATAGGCCTATATATATATTATTTATTTCTTTGAATTACATAATAAAATACAATACAGCAAATAGCTTTTTGATATCTGTTCAGGAGTTTCGTTTTT